GGCCACCCGCAGCCGCCGAAGCCCCAGCGGGAAGCGACGGCGAGGACGGCGGCCGGCGTGACTTCGTGGAGGCGCCGCCGCCCAAGGTGAACCCGTGGACGAAGCACGCGCCGCCGCCGGCCGCGGTGAACGGACAGCCGCCTCCAGGTGGGTCTGCTCGGCGCGGCATTGGCCCGCGCGGTGACGCGGGCGTTTCCCTCCGAGCGGGGCTGCCGGGGCAGCAGCGGTTGGTGGCAACGGCGCGCCTCGGGCCTTGCTGGCCGGACCGGGCCGGGCGGGGCCGCTCGGTGTGCGCTCCGTGTGCCCTGTGTTCCCTGTGTTCCCTGTGCGTGCTGGCGCCCCGGGAGTGCGTGTTCGGTGAACATGTGTCACGGCTCTGAGCGGGGCCTGGCTTTGAACTTAGCAACTTTGCGCCTCGGGGAGCCTGGTGAGGCGTGGGGAGTGCGGGCTCCGGCGTGCTTCGGAGCCGGTGGCGGCCTGCGGCGACGCGAGGGGCGTGTGTGGCGGCGAAGGAGTGGCCGGGCCGGTGCGGGGCGGGCGGGCGGGTGACAGTTGGGCGCCATGCGCCGCGCCGGGGCTGTTCGCTGCGCTCGCCGGCCTGGGCTGCGCGCGGGGCTCCCCTCCCCCTCCGAGTCCGGACGGGAGGTGACCAGGGAATCCCGACCGAGTGCGATCGGCTTGGTCAACGAGGGGCACACGGCTCGGGGACAAGGCTGTGTGTCTTGGGGGGGCACACAGGGCTTCCGCCTGTGTGTTCCCTGGTGTCTTGTAGTGAGCGTGGCCCTGGAGTTTCACCGTCGGGAGTCCCAGTGCTTTTACTTATTTATTTTTAAAACTCCCTTGAACCGTGGGCACCGAGAAGTCAGAGCTAGCCGCTTTCAGGTTCCAGAGTGCAGGGAAAGTGCAGGCCCAGCCCTGGAGGAACCCGGCACAGCCCATCCTCAGCAGCATGTTGGTTGCCCTTTCGATTTCTCTTAGGGTTGCTTCATTAGGAGGAGGGCACATGGGGTGGGGGGTGTGCTGTAGTACCAATGTTCTCTTCCTCTCCTTCCCTTCCAGAATCCTCTTATGCAAGGGGCAGTGCTGAAACCTCCATTTTCTCTCAGATCCTCGCTCTCCACCCACAGAGTGGGGGAAACAACTTTAAGACGCTCTTTGGTCCTGCCCCTCTTTAAACCCAGAGGTATAATCATCCTCCCGAGCCGCGCTCCTCAGAAGTTTAAATGAGGCTGTTCACTCAGGCCGCCGCGCTTAGCTACTGGTGAACCTGCCTTGTGGGTTTTAAATCAGCTGTGACATCAGGCAGGATTGGGTGCCTGAGCTGGCATTTTGTGTAAAGCCAAGGGCCCTTGATAGCTTGCGTCACTGGGGTTATTGATCGTGGGAAGAAGACAGCTTGGCTGGCATCTCAACTTTCCCTCCGGATAAAGCCAGACACGATTTAAGTGACCAAAGAACAAGTTCTAGGTAGGGTAGATATGTTCTGTTCCTTTTTTGTTTTTGTTTTGTTATTGTTGTTGTTTTTTTTGGGGGGTTGGTTTTTGAGACAGGGTTCCACTTAGTCTGTTCTGGAACTCGCTCTGTAGACCAGGCTGGCCTTGAACTTACAGAGATCGTTTGCTTTTGCCTCGGGAGTGCTGGAATTAAAGGCGTGCACCACCATCACCGCCGGCCTGTCCTGTTTTTGTGTGTGTGTGTGTGTGTGTGTGTGTTTGGGGGGGCGGATCATAAAACAGAGTGGCTACCAGTTGGTTTAGAATCTTTGGAGTAGTCTTGGCAGACTACCGGAATTAATCCAGTAGCTTTTGCGTTTAAGCTTGTTAAGGCCTTGGTGCTTTGTAGAGTGAATTCTGTGATTGGGTTGTCTGTCTGGTAAGGTTTGGTCGTGGCCTTATCTCACAGCCAGTGGGATCTGTAGGTCCTTTCTCAGCCCTGGTTTATTTGCAGAGTGGACGTGTTTATAGTGACACTTGTGGAGTGGCTGTGTGGTCTTGGAAGTTTTGTGTTCTGTGATGCATATGGTTTTTGGAGTCTACAGAAGTGAGTGTCTCATAAGCAAGCTAAGCTTTCCAAAGCTTGCTGCAAATGCCTATTTTTAGCTTCCTTTTGGCTCTGATGGCTGCTGTTTTAGTTTTTAAGGGACACAAGCCGTAACTAGTAATAAAATAATGTTTTACCATCTCTTTCCTCCCATGTGGAGTTCTCAATCTAGTTTAAACTCCCAAGGTTTGTATTTTTTTGGAGGGTTAGTGGGTGGGTGACGGCATGGTCTTAATGTAGCACAGGGTGGCCTGGAACTTATTTAATCAAGAGAGGTCCTGACCTTATTCTCCTGCCTCTGCTTTCCCAGTGATGAGATTACAGGAATATAATGCCATACCTGGTTTTAGGTTTATAGTTTTTGAGATTGGGTTTCTCTGTAACTGCCTTGACTATCCTGGGATTCACTCTGTAGACCAAGTTGGCCTTGAACTCACAGAAATCTGCCTGCCTCTGCCTCCTGAGTACTGGGATTGAAGGCTTGAGCAACCAAGCTCAGCAGGTTTATAATTTTAAATGCTGAGATTTGTCCTTTTGGACATCCTCCCCAACAGTTCCCTAATTCAAGCCTCACCCCCCTCTGAATCTGTAGAGTGCCTGTGTGGAAAGAGATACATAGGTTCCAGGTTCAGATGTGTGCACAATGCTATCTATACCACTTGATAGCAGAGTGTGTCACCTTCCTCATTTGTACAACACGGATTAACTTATGATATGCCTGCCTCAAAAGATAGTAGTGAACATTCACTGTCATAACTGACACCTGTGCAGGATTTAGTTTAGTGCAGTGGTTCTCAGCCTTGCTAATGCTGTGACCCTTTAATATACAGCTCCTCGTGTTGTGGTGGCCCCCAACCATGACATTATTTTTGTTGTTACTCCATAACTGTAATTTTACTACTGTTATGAATCGCAGTGTAAATACCTGTGTTTTCCAGTGGTCTGAAGTGACCCCTGCGAATAGATCCTTCACTCCCCAAAGGAGTCAGGACCCACAGATTGAGAACTTCTGGTTTAGTGCCTGGGAGATGATGGGACCTCAGGGACTTTTATCTGAATCTCCATTTTTTATTTTATTTTATTTTTTTACTTGTGAAAAGAAAGCAGTCAAAGAATGTACATGTTTTGTTTTTGTGTATAGCTCAGCATCTCCACAAGAAACACGGATTGCTTTAAAGTTGACCTTTGAACTGGGCATGGTGGTTCACACCTATCAACCCAAGGGAGGTTGAGGCAGAAGGATGACTGTGAGTTGTGGGCAAGCTACTGGAGACACTACCTTTTAAAAAAAAAAAAAAACTTTTGACTCTGTGAGTTGATAAATAAAAATCCACAAAAATTTACCTTTGCTTGTTTTGGGATACAAAGCATATGTATGGACAGCTTTTTTTTTTTTTTTTTTTTTTAACATTTGTTTTGTGTGATGGGGTGCTGGTGAATGAAGGTCAGAGGACATATTACAGGAGTCTATCCTCTTCTTCCACCGTATATGGGTCCCGAGGACTGAATTCAGATTGTCCTCCTAGGTTGCAAGTGCTTTTATTTGCTTAATCATTTTGCCAGGCCATGGAATAGACCTCCCTTCCCCATTTCTCTGTGTAACAACCCTGGCTGTCCTGGAACTTGCTTTGTAGACCAGGCTGGCCTCAGCTTGGAGACCTGTCTACCTCTGCCTTCCAGAGTGCTGGGATTAAAGGGGTGTCCCCCTACACCTGACTGGTCATGAGAGTCTTATAGGTTGGTCAGTCACTCAAAGAAATGACTACTTTTTTTGTTCGTTTTTCAAGATAGGGTTTCTCTGTGTAGCCCTGGCTGTCCTGATACTTGCTCTGTAGACCAGGCTGGCCTTGAACTCACATCCTACTGCCTCTGCCTCTGGAGTGCTGGGATTAAAGGCACCCGACTCCAAATCAAGTTTTAATTTGCCTCAAATTTTAGTTAATTTGCAATTCCAAGACTCTGGAGAGAGCGCACGAACGCACACGCTCCCGAATACAGCAAGCAGCCTGTGTGAGCTTGTTGTGGATCTGCCTCTCACTGGGTATACTGAGAAGGCTTGTGCCTGAGCTGGGGATAGAGTCTGAGACTTAGGTGCCTCATTTGTGTTTGTATGAGTCTCCTTGATGATTGCTGATGATTGCAGAGTCAGGGTTACAAAGCCAGCTAACATCCTGGTGTCCTGGGACCCTGTCCTGCCCCTGCTGCTAAACTAGGGCCTCACAGCATCATTTAAATCTTTAGACTTCTGGCTCTGGAAACTGGGTTTAACACTTTTGGTTTCCTAGCTAAGTTTCTAACTTGCTGTGTAATCTTGGAATTGTGCACCTCCCTGAGTCACTGTTAGTTTACTCCTGTAAAGGAGAGTAATGGTAGTGGTTTTGGAGAGTTGTAAGAATTGAAGGTGGTAAATATTTACCAAGTCCATAGCACATGTGCCAGATACAGTGGGAACCCCCAAGTGTTGCTATAGTAAAGACTGTTTAAAATTATTTTTGTGGGGCCAGTGAAATGGCTCAGCAGATAAAGGCACCTGGCACCTTCTACTAATTCTGATGACTTGTTGGATCCTCGGGACCCACATGGTTGATACCTGCAAGTTGTATTCTGACCACACGTAATATATTTGTGATAGTTATCATGTACTAATCCTGCTTTTGGTTGAGCTCCAGTCACACAGCCTGTGGTCTCTCTGCCTTGTTACTTTATCTGCAGTGTATTAGATTAGGCCTAAAAAATTTTTTTTATTTTTATTTATTTATTTATTTATTTATTTTTAAAGATTTACGTATTTATTTATTGTGTATACAGTGCTCTGCCTGTATGTCTGCCTGCAGGCCAGAAGAGGGCACTGGATCTCATTACAGATCACTGGAAGAAAAGCCAGTGCTTTTTTTCCCCCCCATTTTTGCCCCATTTATCTTTTTATTGTTTGAGAACCTCAGACAAGCATGTAACAATTTTTTTTTTTATATTTAAAAACATTGATTTATTGTGTGTGTGCTTTGTCTGTATGTATGCAGGAGCACTACCTGAGTAGGCCAGAAGAATCATCAATCCCCTGGATCTAGAGTTACAGATGGTTGTGAACTGCCACGATTGGGCGCTGGGAACCAAAGCCCTGTCCTCTTCAAGAGTAGCAAGTGCTCTTAACTGCTAGGCCATCCCTCTGGCCCAATTATTATTACTGCTATTTTTTTTTTGTTTTGGTTTTTTTGTTTTGTTTTGGTTTTTAAGAGTTTTCATTTGTGTATATGTGTTTACGTAATGTTATAATCTTTGAGACAGATTAGAGTGTCTTTATTTCTAGTCAGGACCAGAGAGAGAACTCAGATTCTATTCTGACCCCGGGAAGTAGCTTTACCTCCTTGGGCCTTGATTAGTCTGATACCTCCATCTTCCTTCTGTTCACATACTTTGGATCTTGGGAAAGAGCAGCTGTATTTCTCCCTACACCTGTGTGTGTTGATGGGCGATGATGGGAGGTTGTGTCTGAAGGTGATTGTGAAGGACTGTCTTTCCTCAGCCAGTGCTCTTAACCGCTGAGCCATCTCTCCAGCCCCAGGCCTAAATGTTTTAAGGTTCTAGTGTTAAAACTGTTCTCCCTACTAGAACCCCAAACTCACTTCCCACCAAAGCTAAATTGAAGCAGAGCTTTTAGTGCATGTTTCCTCAAATTAGCCAATGTGGTGGGGAATTCATGTCTTGACTCCAAAGCCCCGTGAAGGCTGGAGAGAGACACTTGGTTTCATGAACTGAGGTTGGTAGCTTGGGAAGGCATGTAGTGGAGTAGTGATTGGCCTTCCTGTGTGGTGATAGAAAGCTCCTAACAGCACAAGTGAAACACCTCCCACCCCAGTGCATAGAGAAAATAGGATGGCCTTGAAATTCCCACCCTAACACTTCCATCTCCCAAGTGCTGGGATTAAAGGTACACGTGACTACCTAGTTTATTCAGTGTTTCCCGAGAAATTCTGTATAACATATTTTTTTATCAATAAAGAAGAGGGCTTTGAGAAGGGAATGAATGTTAAAGATGAAAAGGTTGAAGTCCAGTCACGCATTGTTGTGAATCTTGTCTAGATCTTCATTTGAACAAACTGGGCCATGGGATGTTTTGAAGCAGGGTATGGTGGCTCATGTCTA